TACATATGTTGAATAAAATGCAGTGACACACTGAGAGTGATTTTCAAGGAAGACCATGACAGAGTATGTAAATGGTAGCATGTGGGAGATAGGAGAAGTCGAAATGAAATAGAACTAAAAGGCAGGTTAGTTTTTAAAGGAAGACTTGAGAGAGGCGGGGGCTGTGTGTGGAGATCTGAGTCATAGGAAAGAAGTTAAAGAAACCATCATTCTCAGCAAACTGACAGAAGAGCAGAGGATCAAACACCGCATGTTCTCACTCATAGGCGGGTGTTGAACAATGAGAACACATGGACACAGGGAGGGGAGCACTACACACTGGGGTCAGTTGGGGGGAAATAGGGGAGGAACGGTGGGGGGTGGGGAGCTGGGGAGAGATAGCAAGGGGAGAAATGCCAGATGTAGGTGATGGGGAGGAAGGCAGCAAATCACACTGCCACGTGTGTACCTATGCAACAATTTTGCATGTTCTTCACATGTACCCCAAAACCTAAAATGCAATAAAATAAATAAATGGGGGGGAAAAAAAGAAAACTACAGGCCAAGTGTGGTGGCTTACACCTGGAATCCCAGAACTTTGGGAGGCTGTGGCAGGCAGATCACTTGAGCTCAAGAGTTTGAGACCAGCCTGGGCAACATGGTAAAAACCAGGCTCTACAAAAAATAAAACTGAACCCAGGAAGATGAGGCTGCAGTGAGCTGTGATTGTGTCACTGCACTCCAGCCTGGATGACAAAGCGAGACCCTGTCTCAAGAAAGAAAAGAAAAAGACTACAGTTTTTAATTTAGATAGCTAGAAGAATGGCAGTATAATTAAAGAAATTCAGGAATACTAGTCTTCCAGGTAAAAGATGAATACAATTTTGGATCTATTGCATTTGAAATGACAATAAGACTTCCAAGTGAAAAAGACTTTTGGATATGTGATACCGAATAAAGGTGATTGGAGCAGATGTGATTCCCAAGTGATGAAATATGAAGACAGAAATAAAATTTTAAGGACAGAACTTTGAAATCCTTAGTTAGGGAAATGGGAGGTGAAAATATAGCCACGGAATAACAGAAATAAACCATTCAAGGTGGACAACCACTACAAACCTGTAGTGCTTTCCACGTGGCGAATGTGCCTTGTCTTGTTTCCAGGACTTACTTGTACCTAAACTTAGGGGGAATAATTCAGTCTCTTACCATTAAGTATGTTACCTATAGGTTTTTTATAGGTGCCTAGGGTTGAAGAAGGGCCCTTCTATTGCTAGTTTACTGAAGATTGTGCAGTGAATGAATGCTGTAGACTCTTTTTTCTACACTTGAGTTCATCATATGGTTTTTCTTTTTTAGACTTTTGATGTGCTGAGTTGTGTTGATTGATTTCCTGTTGTTAAGACAACTCTGCTATATTATCCTTTTTTTTTATGTTGCTGACTTCTATTTGCTAAGAAATATTTTTATTTCTATTTTTAAGGAAATACACATCTAGGTCCATGAGAGATAATGATCTGTAATTTTTTTGGTAGTGTCCTTAATTTTGGTAACAAAGTAATGCTGTTATTAAAAGAATGGGTTAGGAGGTGCTCTGTCCTCTCTCGTTTTCTGGAAGAATTTGTGAACAATTGGCATTTGTGAACAATCTTTCTTAAATATTTGGTAAAATTCCAAGTGAAAGCATTTTGGCCTACAATTTTCTTAGGAAGGTTTTTACCCATGAGGACTATTCAGAGTACCTCTCTTTTTCTGAATGACTTTGGCTGGATTTTGTCTTGTAAGGACTTTGTTTCTCATCTAAAGTATCCAATTATTTGGCTTCAAGGTAGCCATAATATTATTAGCCTTTCAGTGTCTGTAGGATCTATTGTGACGTTTCTCCATTTCATTTACATCTATTTTCTATTTATTCCATCTTCTTTTTATTTTTTCCTCTTTCTGCTTTCATTTACAATCAGTATTTTATTTTGATTCCATATAGTAGATATTTTTTAGGATAGAATGAAAATGGGAGCTCTAATGTATTATAACTGACATTCTCTCAATAAACTGAGACGTGTGATCATAAGCTAAGGGTGGGGAAATGTTGGAATCTTGCATAGAGAAGGTTTAGAATATTTGTTTTGGGAGGTGTCTTTGGAAAATAGCAAGAGATTAACATGGATTTCCAGCCATCAGTGAGGGCCCAGTTGCAGTAAACATGTTAAATAATAATATTATCTGGAAAGTTAAGGCATATTATAATCAAATCCAAAGATCTGCCTCCAAATAGGACCTAAAAGTTGGAAAATGTGAAAAAAAAATTTTTTTTTTGAGACGGAGTTTCGACCTTGTCACCCAGGTTGGAGTGCAGTTGCACAAACTTGGCTCACTGCAACCTCCACTTCCCAGGTTCAAGCAATTCTCCTGCCTCAGCCTCCTGTGTACCTGGGATTACAGGTGCCTGGCACCACGCCTGGCTAGTTTTTGTATATTTAGTAGAGACGGGATTTTGCCATGTTGGCCAGGCTGGTCTCGAACTCCTGACCTCAAGTGATCCATCCACCTCAGCCTCCCAAAGTGCTGGGATTACAGGCGTGAGCCACCATGCCCAGCCTGTGAAAAAATTATAGTGGAATTACAGTGGTGGCTAGGTTAGTTCACATTTAAATTTTATTTAAAATAAGATCCAACCATATTTTCCTTCAGAAAGGTTAAAGATATGAGCTTCTTTTAGACAACTGCATTTTTCCGACAGTCCAGAACTTTGAAGTAATTGGTGGCCGTCTTTTCTAAATATTAGGCACTCACCTGATTACACAGGGCAGATGGCGCAAGGGTTCATCAACGTAAGTTGAGTGAAATTTCTGTCATTTTCTGATAACTAAGTGATCTGAAAAGCCAGAAAAAGGTGGAATAGCCGAAAGGAGTTGGTATTGTTGAGTGGAAATAGAATGAGTGGAAAACTGGCAAACCAGCTGGATAGTTTGTGGAAATAATGGTTTTGGGCACTTATTTGCACGACTAGGATAATTATTCTACTCTTTGAACTGATTACTGTTTGTATTGTATTGCAAAAACTCCTTGGATCATGTAATGAAATATGAGTTCAGTGAAAAGTCACACTTAACTGATCTAAATTTCTCTTTGTCTACAGACATTATTTCATTTACATATTGTAAAATCTATGTGATGAAAAATGAGAAAATCATAAACGCACAGGAGTGTTTCATTTAAATTACTTTCACAATTGCAATCCAGTTCTCAAAATAAGAATTTTGACAAACCTCAACTTTGGCAGAAGAAAAGTAACATTTTATTTGAAAAACTGACATAGTTTCTGTAGACAGAAAAAATAAACAAAAATATACATACCCATCCTAGTCCAGCAGTGGCCACTACACTGTAGAAGAGTGAAAAAGGATCCAGACTCTGGGGCCAGAGTACCAGGGTTTGAATCCTGCCTTTCCGTTTACCAGCTGTAAATCCTGGGCAAGTTGCTTAACTTCTTTGTGCTTTGATGTCTTCATCTGTAAAATGGAAAAATAGTTTTATCTAATAGATTTGATTTGAAGATTAGATTAGCTAATACATGTAACAGATGTAAACAGGGCTTGCTGAATATAAGAAGCTGTAGTCGTTATTGTTACCGTTGTGAAGAAAGGTGAGTTAGACTCCGCATTGCCAATAATTTGGGTTGTAACATATTAAAGAAAATCTAGATCTGGTACCCTGGATGTGAAATGTATGCGCACTTGATGATTACCATACAAAGGTGCTAGGAATAAAAATGCCAAATGCCATCTATTTTAGTATGACTTTTGTAGACACTGTGAGGTTTTATCTTGTATGTTGCATTTTCTCAAACATCGCAATCAATTCTTCAAATACAATTTTACTGTTCGTAAAAGGAATTATAATTATGTTTCAGCATAATTATGTTTCTAAATCAACGGTACAATTTCTCAAAAATAAAATATCATTAAGCACTGGAAAACCAGTAAGGCAGTAATTAAGGCAAATTTTATGTCTTTCATAATTGACAAAAGTTAATACTGTGGTTTTGATGACTCAACAAAGTAGGCGAATGTTAAAAGACATAAGAAGATATTTTGGGGATAAAACCGAACTATGGTGCAAAAGAGAAGAGGAAATTAGTATCAAATGGGTGCTAACCATGATGGGCAGTCATGCCCCCTCCCATACTAGCTCATTTGTTTATTTTCCAAAATGTATAAAATAGGCATATATTATCCCCATTTTACTAATATTAAAACTAAAGCTTTCAGAGTTTTACTTCAACAGTTCTTCAGGGCTGTTTAAGAGTACAGCTGGGGGTCACGTCCTAGTCATTTTCTTGCAAAGCCCATGTTCTCTCCACTGAACTGGTCTGTCTCTCAGAAGTGATATGTACACCACTGAACAAGTTCAGTGCAAAAATTATGGCTAATCCCCAAAAATAAAACTTTCCGAGATTTTCAATATCGTCTAATTCAACTGGTTTCCTTTCTTTGCATATTTTCTATTGCATTTCATTTTAATAAGGATATGGCATAAAAAGTCATACCGAAACAACCTATAATCCGAACTTGCCCATGGATCTCTTTGCTCTTATGACTGGTGAAGTGGGGCTCCAACAGGAGTTGTAATGGAAAGAGTGATGACCTTAGGGCTGATTCTGGCTTTGCTGCTAACTAGTTACATCACTTTGCGGTAAGACATTTCATAGTGCTATTGTCCCTCTTTTAAGTTTTACAAGGAAAGAAAGGCACACAATGATATCAAATGTTACTTCATTCCATCTCTTGATGCTCTATGATGTTATCAGTCTACACTATGTTTTCCTGAAAGGCCAGAATTTCAAAGATGGACTAGTTTCCCAGGGACCTGATTCCCCAGTTGGAGTACTCCATCCCCTTGGAAATTCCTGGCATTTATAAAATAACTCTAGATAACAAGATTTTGTTTTTAAAGGTCCTATAAATTCATTTCTCTCTGTATTTAGGTATCCTGATTTTTCTTTCCCATATTTTCCACAGGATTATTTTACAAATGCAAATAGAGAATTGAAAAAAGATGCTCAGCAAGATTACCACCTAGAATATGCCATGGAAAATAGTACCCACACAATAATTGAATTTACCAGAGAGCTGCATACATGTGACATAAATGACAAGAGTATTACGGTAAGGCATCTGTGAGTGAATTCATGCATGAATAAATTGTATATTTATACCTGTGAATCACTTTAAAGAATAAGAGAAACGAGTCATATAGTCTTTTTTGGAATATTTTTGAAATCTTTTTTAGAAGCCAATAAAGTATAAGACTACAAATTTCAATAAAATCAACTTTTGTATGAGTTTAACATTTTGAAGATCCCGTTAAAATTTGTATGATTTAATGTAAATACATTTTACTTTCTTTTCTATAAAGTTTGAAAATATATAACAGATAAATGCTTGAAGAAATGTATTACACAAAAGAGAATTGTGAATCTGAATATTAGGATATAATTCATCTGATTTGTAATGGACTCATCTTTGTAAATTTCTAAAATCGAGATGAATAGGTGGCTGATTATAATTGCCTACTGGCATATTATGAGATTTCTTATATTCAGACTTCATGCAAAAATTAATATCTTTATGCACATGCAAATTAAATATTTGAAAGGTATGTACTACTTCAGAAATTTCCATGAATTGTTTGGATTGATTTTATTTTGTATAGACCAATATAATTATCTTTTACTATTTGGTAAATCAAAGCTTCAAAAATGGGAATGTAAAAAATATGAAGCAGTTCTGATTAACATTCAGCATTAAGAGTAAAAGGCAGAAAAAAACATATGCAAAAGAGGCATTACTTTTTATTCAATATACAGTGTAATTATACTTTAATTGGAATAATTATTATAGTCATTTGACTTATTAAGGAAGAATATAGCAAAGAGAACATTTAAAATAAATAGCTTTTGCTTTATTATTTATTTTCAAAGTTTTTATTACAAAGATCTGGCGAAAACACCTTTATCTGTGGGAGGATTGAACAATTTCTTTACACCCCAGCAAACCCTCCCCACCGTATAGCCCTTTGGGCAATCTCTCTTGGTTGCTCAATGGAAACCAATTTCATCTGACAGTACTTTCCCTAGTTGCAGTAAACCAGTTCCTAGGAAATTCCCAGGATTCATGAAATGACTATAGATTCACTCTAGTATAATTAAAAAACTAGACTCAGAAATCCTTCTGTATCTATTCTTTCTTTAAATTTATACGTGTGACTAGGCTAGTTCCTAGGAAAACATCTACTGTAAAAGGAAAAGTCTTAAGGTAATTTTAATTTTCACTGTATTAATTTATTTTTCCCTAAAATGGTCCTTGGCATTTAACTTTCCAAAGTCTCTGCTACTGAATAAGAATATTTGTTTAGACGCCATCAGTTCCAAGTTTAAAGTTTCAGCATGGCAATGATTTATTGTTGTCATATTCTTAAGAGTGTAATTACTGAGTGAGTTGTCCTTCAGTATGGATTGGAACACATAGTCTTGCATGCTGAGAGATGATTCCTTCCACAAAGTAACTCATGTGTTTGGATTCTTAATGATTTAATCAAATTTGTGCAATTAATGTTAGAGACCATGTTGAGAACTCCAAATGTTATTTTCTTTTCTTCACTTCTATATCTTGTTTACAATAGAGTTCTGTAAACTCAACTCAGTGGTAAGGACAGTGGTCTCATGAGACCTAATCACACTCATGTTTATACCCAGGATAGCACTGTGAGAGTGATCTGGGCCTACCACCGTGAAGATGCGGAAGCTGGTCCCAAGTACCATGACTCCAACAGGGGCACCAAGAGTCTGCGGTTATTGAATCCTGAGAAAACCAGTGTGCTCTCTACAGCCTTACCGTACTTTGATCTAGTAAATCAGGACGTAAGTGTTTTCGGGTTTTATGTTTATAGGGATGGACTTATTCAAAGTGTGTACGAGCATTTTTGCTTACATTATTGTATTTAGTAGCATGTTAAGAGAATGTGACTTTGTGTCTTCCCCGCATTTTTATTAAGACAGGTTCCCATTCCAAACAAAGATACAACATATTGGTGCCAAATGTTTAAGATTCCTGTGTTCCAAGAAAAGCATCATGTAATAAAGGTATGTGATTCACAGGCTAAAATCAGTTTGTACAAATGGAAGAATAAATTGATGTTGTTAATTTGATGAAAACAGTACAAAATATAGAAATATTTTTCAATTATTTGAAAGTTTTTTGAAAAAAAGAACTGGCTTGGTTGACCTTCATACTGTTTTAAAAGTCTGAAAGCTTGGATTATAGCTAATATTTTAGTTATCTCCTAATTTTGGTATGCACTTGAACACCGCTAGTTATTATTTTAGGAAACATTTCTACAAATGGAATTTCTGAAATTGCAATTTAAAATAATATGTTTACATATTGATAAATTATGCCCATAAAGGGTACATCCCTCACCAATAATGATTGAGAACATCTGCTTTATTGAAAATAGTGGATACTGTCATTTGAAAAAAAAAAAAACACTGTGATAACATTTTTTTGAAAATAGAAAAAAGAAAATTAGTGAATTTCTACAGAAATAAAAAAATGCAGAATTGGGTAATAAATAAATTCAATTTGCCCGTGGCAAGCAATTCTTTTCCATTCTCCTGGAATGGGCCTCCCAGAACTTTTACATCTACCTAGTGAATGAACAAATATTTTTAAAAAGTTACAAGTCCTTGGCTCTGTGCTAGTAATTGTTGGCAATTCCACAGAGGCCAAAGGTATGATCCGTGCTCTCAAAGAACTTAAAGTATACTGGGGAGACATGGCCAAGACACCACAAAGAATAAGATAGAATTAAATAGTGCATACAGAATACTGTAAATATTCAGAAGGCCAGACTTTGCTGCCTTTTGATCAGTCCCCAGACTATGTAGTGAAGTGGCGTGGACAAGGAATGAATTGCTAGACTCTGGAATCTAGAGGGAAATACATGGGTTTGAGAATCGTAAATCTACCCTTTAATTAAATGTGTACTCCGAGGTAAGTCGCTCTGGGGTAATGCTGTAGCCCTAGTTTTCTCATCTGCAAAAGGTGGACAGTCATAACACTTTCCCTACCAACCTCAACACATTTTAGCAGAGATAGAAACACTGAGCACATTCTCCAAGTTTGTGACTTAAATTTGTAAAATTCTAATGTATTTCCCTAGTTGCCTTTTGTTTACAAACATTTTTGTTTACAAACATTTTTGCTCACAGACCTGCCTTTGGTTCACAAAATGATTCATAACTACATACAGAGGCAAATGGGTGGCTTTAGGGAATGTTATTGAGTTAATATGTTGTCCTGAATATTTCTAGGATATTTTTGCAAACAGGAGACTTACCAACAACGTGACTGCAAGTGAGTCATTTACCTCTGTGCAATAAGTTATTTTCTACTTTGTGTAAGGGAAAAGGAAATGCAAATTCTAATTTTGTATAATTAATACCTTGCCAAGGTCCTTCCTTTTACCAATGAAAAGTCTTTCTCAGAAAAGAGGATGTTTCATTTATATATACTATATGTCATTTGCAGTAAATTTAATTGGAACTTGGTGTAAGGGACAAATGTAAAACTATAGATTCAGAAATAAAAACAAATGTTCCTTTATCCACTTTCTGGCAAACATTAATTGTACATTTCTTAACCACTTAATGTTAATGCATTTTTATTCTTTCTATTATTAATGCTAATGATTGAGTTGAATGAAATAAAAATAATTATATATGTTTCAGGGAGGTCAATATATGTTCCAACTCCTTATGTTGGATATTTGCTTGTTACCTCATCTTTCTTAGCTAACTTTCCGATAAGAAGCATATCAAATAATACTCGGATACACTTTCCTATAAGAAGCATATTGAGTAATTCTCAGATAAATGAACTTAGAATTAAGTACTTTGGGGACTACATAGCTGCCTTCACTAGATGTTTGCATCAACATGAAAGGCATTGGAGCATTTTTTTGCAATGTTTGGAGGTCTCCTAGACAACAAAAATTCTTTACCTTGAGCAAGAGGGGATTTGAGGGAAGGACAGTAGGTCATAAAAGAATGCTCATATACACTTTTGTTATTGTTATAGGGAACAGAAATTTGGTGGCTAGAATTTAAAATTCCATTATTATGTGAGAATACCACTTATAGGATAGATTTCTTATCTTGCTAAACCTTAAAATATTTTAAAGTTTATTAAGTATTATGAAACATTTTCCTTGAAAATGAACTCAAATAGGATACCATTCAAAAAGCAAAGAAAGCTCCACTGGAAACATAAATTCAAAATATTTAGTAATATGCAAGTGGTTTTAAGGCAGTCTTTCAAAACCAGATTTCATTTGCAACTTATTCAAGGTGTCAGTAAAACTTTAATGATGTAGAAGTCATAGATCTATGACTTGCCTTAAGCTGATTTCCATGTTCTTTTTTTCTAGTAGAGAGAATTTCTAATAATTTAAGAAAAGTATATATTCTTTTCATAAAATCAAAGACTCCTATTTTTTTTTAAAGCCATCAGTTAAGGGCTTCTCCTTATTCTTTATTTTTTGTTCCACAAATCACTGTATCAACAAGCCTCAATCCTTTTCTGCTGCAAACAAAAAGAACTTTCACAGAAAAGAGAATATTGATTTTATATTGTGTAGTGTGCAATTGCAGTGAGTTTTAAGAATATCGACTACAGTTGAATTGTGAGAAATCAGTTTCATTTTCTGGAGTCTAATGCACACAAAGAATTCATTTGTATTTGCAGTTCAAATGTTGTTAGTGCCTGGATCCACTTACCTGTGGCTCCATGGATTAAGTTGCCCGTGGTCAGCAGTGGTCTGAAAATATTAAATGGAAGATTCCAGAAATAAACAATTCTTAAATTTTAAGATGCATACCATTTTGAGTGGCTTGATGAAATCTTGCACTGTCCTGCTCCATGCCATCTGGAACAGGAATCATTCCTTTGTCCAGCATATTCACACTGGAAACGCTGCCCACCCGTTAGTCATTTAGTAGCCATCTCAGTTATCAGAGTTACTGATGCAGTTATCAGAGTGTCATGGTATCACAGTGCTTGTGTTGAAGTCACCCTTATTTTTCTTAACATTGGGCCCCAAAGCACAAGGGTAATGATGTTAGCAATGCAGGGATTCCCAGGAGAAGCCATCAAGTGCTTCAAGTGAAAAGCGGAAAGGTCTCAACAAAGAGAGAAACACGATGAGGTTGCTAAGACCTATGCTGAGAATGAATCTTCTCTCTGTGAAATTGTGAAGAAAGAAAAAGAAATTCACGCTAGTTTTGCTGTCTCACTTCAGACTGCAAAAGTTATGGCCATGGTGCATGATAAGTGCCTAGTTGAGATGGAAAAGGCATTACATTTGTGGGTAGAAGACATGAGCAGAAACGTGTTCCAGTTGACAGCAGCGTGCTGCGCTAGAAAGCACTGAGCCTATACAAAGCCTTCAACAAAAAATCCCCTGAAATGAGTGACACAAAGCCATTTAATGCAAGTGAGGGATAGCTGCAGAGATTCAGGAATATGGAAGGTCAGTAGCAGCCTAATACTACATCACAATGCCTATGTCATTCATCACACTTCATTTCATTATGTATGTATTGTATCATCTCACATCACAGGAAGGGTGAGTACAGTACGATAAGATATATTGAGAGAGAGAGAGAGAGAGAGAGAGAGACCACATTCGCATAATTTTAATTACAGTATATTGTTATAATTGTTCTGCTTTATTGTTAGTTATTATTGTTAATCTCTTACAACAAAAGATTTGGAAATCTCCTAATTTATAAATTAAGCTTTAATGCATGTATAGGAAGAAGCATAGTATGTATAGAGTTTGCAGTTTCTGCCATCCACTGGGGGTTTTGGAATGTTTCTTCCTTAGATGATGGAGGACTACTGCATATATTTTATACTTATAATAACTATAAGACTGAGCAAAGAAAATATATCCATAGTTTGATAAGAATCACTAAATTTTAAAATATTTATTATATTTAAAATTTACATTATAACATTGTAAAAATTATTTGCTTCTAAAATTATAAAATAAGGTAAATAATCTCTAAAATGACTAAAATATAAAATAAACATACATGATTTTATCTCTAGAAGAGATAGGATTATAATACAACTATTGGCTGTCACAATTTATTTGTGATCTCAATTTTTTTATTTGCATTTTGATTCTTGAAAAAAATGTTTAAAATTGTGACTTGAAAATGTGGGTATTATCAGATGCCAGCATGTCACACTTGCAGGTGAATATGGAAAGTATAGAAGAGAACATTCTTGGTAATTCATATTTAAACTGTACTTTTCATGTGAGATCATCTCTGTGGCAGGTACTTGAGAACACCCTGCAGCCCACCTCTCCATATTTCAGCATGACACTCTTTAAACTTTATTTTAGATGTGACTTAACTGTAAATTTAAAGTTTTTAAAGAAGGTTGATTATACCACTCTCTTTAGTGAACAATAATGTCATTGTCATGACTGTGAGTCATGGTTGGATATACTTTGCTAGAAACTGGGGTTATTAATTGGTTTAACACACTACTTCTTTTGAGGGGATTTTACTGTCAGAGAATTCTCATAGATGAACTACACTCCTAATCCATCTGCTTAAATGTGATTTGTCTCATTCCATTTCCTAAAATCTTGTTGATGACCCATTATGGCAAAAGAAAAAAAAAAATGCCAACCAAAATCCTCATTCCTTAGTCCCGTCTCCCTAAAGGACTAGCTTTGTAATAGGGAAGCAGTACGCCTCATGCTATGGTAGGTGAGTTCCATGACTGGATGGATAGTTCAGGTTTGAATTCCTTCTTTCCATGTATTAGTTGTGTAACTTACGGAAAAGTTGTTGGCCACCCACAGCTCAGTATTTTCATTTAAAGGGAAATGGTGCCTCCTAATGGGATTGCTTACATTAAGGATCAAACAGGAGTTATTTTTTCAGCACTTAACACAGTATCAGACACTTAGAAAACTATTAATAAACTCAACTATTATTATCAGGCAACTATTTATTTTCAGTGTTGCTCCCTGAATGACTTTTCATTGAAAACTACTCTTTAG